CATTATCCGGGAGGAGGTACTGTCACCCTGTTAGGGCGGCTACACCTAGCCTCTAGCACAGTGACTGAGGGCTCAGGAGAGTAAGCACTATCGTCTAAACCTGATCAAGGTAACAAATTATGTTCCCGAAACGTTTTGTTTGAAATGCGGACAGGGTCCACAGTAAGTCTCGACAAGTTCCGGCGCCGTGCAGCTCTCTTCTCACGTTCCTGTATGATTGCAGGCTTCTGAGCTGTCCACACAGAGGTGCAAGGGGTTCCAGATTCTCTCGAACAAGGAATTCTTCCCAATTCCCTACCAAAGCTGGGAGTTGTTCTTCGAGGAATCCGGAAGTGAAGAAACTATGGAGAAAATCAAGGGAAGTTTTGGTGTCCATGTATGGAACAAACTCAGTAAACTGACGAAAGTTCTTGTTGGGTCCAGGCAACCTTACAGCCTCATGGCTGCGACGGCCTGTCCTCGGGTGTATTCTGTATGTGGACGTGATTTCTGAAAAGACAAGTGTAACAGCAGGTTCTGTAAAATAAAGTTGGTGTTGGGTGCAGTGAACCTTGTTCTATTGTATCGTGGCTCGAGGTCTCCTCCACGGATGAATACTCTATCTGGACGGGATTTCTGACCACGGAATAGGAAGGGTTCCGAAGCTGGGAACAGCAATGAAGCAAGCTGAAAACATTCGGGATAATCTGCAAACCAAAACCTTCGAGCACACCGAACCCCATGTTGCCGCTTCCTTATGAGGGTAACCAGGACTTCAACCCTCCCTGGCGCCTTGACGCCTAGAATTTTCACTACTGCGCATCAAGTGAATTCTCTTTTCTTTACTTTATTACTGTCTCATCTCTTAACTCCTTCTCTCCTGTCTACATCATCATTCTCTCCTATCCCTTTCATTTCTTCCGTGCTTTGGCAGCTCCGCACCCCCTTCCTTCCAAACTCTCCTTTGCGTTAAAATTGTTCCTCGTTCCTTCAATGTCCTTCTCTCCCTTCTCCCTTATTCATCTTCCAAACCTTTCATTTGTCCAATCTGTCGACATTCGTCTGTTTGTATCCTAGCAACGGCGTTGGACTCACCCAGAATGGGTCGGGTCGGGTCGGGTATATTGCTGGTGCCCCTCGGCAGCACAGTCATTCTTGGTTCCGGTTCCCGCGGGACTCATGGCCGTATTTTACTCTCTCACGTCTCTGGGACCCGTACCCACCCCATGCATGGCCTAAGTTAACAGAAAGCAAGACAGTTCTTCTATATTCTGGCTCCTGCATCTGTCGGCCATTTGCGCATGCCCGAGCGACACCAAGTTGTTGAGCAATCTCCCGTTTAAACTGTGTTGACACTGCCCTCGAGCCGCATAACTCGTTCATATTGTGGTCTTACGGGTTATTACCCATCTCCATTTACGGCGAAGATGGATGCAGCATATTCCTCCGAAATGTAGGTACACAGCTACATAACCCAGGAGACTGCGCTATGAATATTGTTATGCCCCCATGCAGTTTTGTATGTTGGTGCGCTGCGAAATTTCATCCAGAAGCAAGATTACAGGTTCATGGATGTTGGGACTGAGGTCCCCACAGCAGGGACTAGAAAACCTTTCACCTTATGGACTGTGACGCCGTGCAGTCCGGCAGAAGTTCATCGACGTGACGACAGGACGTACTGACTCCACCTTCCGGGTCCTCTTGCTGGCTACTTCCTCGTGGTAACTTGTTTGGCCTACACTTCGGCCCTGAAGGTGGCGGCAGTGCCTTCCCCCGAACTTACCGGACAGCACGACGTCACACCTTAGAATCGCTTTAGAGAATTTTTTATGCTGCAACAGTCGGAGCAAGGGAGAGGCACGCGGTAGCGTTGTTCTTTGAGGCACTGTCCTACAAGGCTGAAGGTCACGGTTTAGATTCCCGATGTGGGCACTGGATTCTTAATTAGACCTAATACTTCCACCCGGATTGTGGCGCTGGGGTCGACTCAGCCTCTAATAGAATTGAGAAACAGGAGTCTGCCTGGTGTTGAAGAGCGGCCGACGCGTAAAGGCTGAGAGCCTCACTGCCATCTGTGAGCCGTTCGTCTAGAAAATGTGGGAGCCTCGACGTCTCACTGCCCTGTTGCAGGGTCAGAGTGAAGGGATGCGCTCCCAGTTATCCTGGCTGTCTCCATTCGCGAATGTACTTAGAGGCGGCGTGCTAATTATGCAAGGCAGTGTCAAATTGGTTTCACCTTCAGCGCACTGACAGTCTGCCCCACTGCCCTGTTGCTGTGCGACGTGATGGCCCGAAGTACAGACGGTACAGACTGCCTGTCGGCAATGCAGTGAGGCTCAGGACGTGAGCTGGCTCACCGAGCCAGACGGCCGGGGCTCGAGTTGCGGTATGACATGTTCTCCCACTCTCATGACTATACCGACTGTGCGGTTCAGCACCCCCCCCCTGCCGCAGCTACAACGCTAGCTGATAGGAAGGCGTGGAACTTTAGCTTCATTTCCCAATTCGCTCAGTCGGTATACGTGTTGTACCGCCGAGGAATCGAGGTTCGAATCCCGGATGGGGCGCGAGATTTTTCTGCTGTGCACAGGGTGCAAATAGACTCTGGGGCCCACAGTGGGTACCGGGGCTGCTTTTCTGGGGTGAAGGCCGGCAGACGCCTGAAGCTGACGACACCTCCACGTAGTCTCGATTTTAAGAATTGTGGAGCTGTACCTCCACTCCCCCATATTTACCTTACCTGTAGCCCTCTTACTGGGAGATCACTGGGCCACCGCAGACGGCCAGCCGTTCCATAAGCTCGATGAATCCTCAGTATTTCCACTTCAAGACGGTCTTCTTAGTCATGACACGGTGTAGTCTGGTACCTGGGTTACAGTGTTATCTCCAGTTGCCTCTGCCATTAAGGAAAAGGTGCTGTGTTCCTCTCCAAATTCATGTTATCATTACGAGACTACACGGTGTCACAGCCGTGTGAATGCGCCACATGGAACCAACGTGAATATCTTATCTTCGCTTCGGTGTCCGTGTGTGGTTACCATACGCACCACCTGCTTTAAAAGCGGTAACAAATGGACGTAACTCTTCATGTAAATGTTGAGTTGCACTGCATGCTACACATGCAGCCCAACTAGTCCTCCGCTTCCTCTAGCTTTATCTTCCTCGCTGGTCGTGGCTTGACTCGAAGCACTCTCCTTGCAGCTGCGCAGAGCGACTGAAGAAGACCACGGAAATCCTCACTCAGGACAATTAGTGTATAAGACGAGATCTGAAGCCGAGACCTCCAGAATATGATACAGGAGCGTTACCCCTTCGAAAGCGCCGTGTGGACATAGTGCATGTGGAGATCTAACAGAAACTGCAACCTGTGGCTCGCGAGACTCTGTTTTATCTGTAACATGTATGTCCGAAAAAACAAAGTAAAGGTAAAATGTAAAGCTGTCCCTGTGCTCACTGAATTAAGAACTACAACATGAAGGTGTATGGGGAAGTGGTTGTATAGATCCATATTTTTTTGACCTCGACACTCCTGGAGTTGTGTGGTTAGCTTCACGCCCCTACCGCTGTACCTTCGGGGAAAGAACCCCCGGTACCCAGTGGATAGGAGGTTGAATGGACCCCAGAGCCTTTCTGAAAGACGTGAAGAAGAGAATATTCTTGACCCTACCGGGACTCGAACTCCGAACCCTCATTTGCTATACGGACTACTCTAATCCGGCTCCCTAAGAGCAAAATAACCAAGGTTAAAGAGGGCCTTCAAGGAACATACATACTGAAAATTGGAGCCCCATGTGAGAACATTCGTGAGCTCGGGTGCCGCAGAGACAAGTGGACTCGATGGCGCCGGTGTTTGGTCACGTGCTTCCCACGCCGCGGGGTTGTACAAAGAGGAAATTCTGGAAAGACCGGAACCGCATAGATAACGACAAAATTAGGGGGGCCATCAGATTGCCATTTGTCTCATGAACCTCCTGTTTCTTCGAAACAAGGGAAGGGACGGAAGGGGTACGCGCTGATATCGCGAGGTGCAGTTTCTCTGCATGTAATTTAGGTCATCTGAACTACTTATCACACGGTATCAGTGTCACACTCGACGTCTGCAAACAGACACGGATTGCGTCACTGATACCGTGTATGATTAACACTGCGCCAGCTCACGCAGCCTTGGGAACTGCTTGCTTCGCGGTGTTTCATCTCGGCCCTCGGAAGCATGAAGATACGCTTTATTTTTGGGCAGGGGACAGAACATCAAGTAACTAGAAGTTCCCCAGGCTTCGCCCTCTCGTCCTTCTGGTAAGGGCAGTGCGAAAGTGAAGACGTCACTATGTTTACGAGCAGTGGCTTGAGTCAAGGGCCTCCGCGTTTTGATTTTTAGCTCACAGAGCGTTGACCATGGACAGTACTGTATTTTGGATTGTGACGCCGTATATCCGGTAGAAGCTTTCTTCTTGGTTTGCTTACTCTTTAACCCTGAACATGGAGGCTATGCGTTCCTCCGAAACGTCGGTGAACTTCTACCGGATCACACAGTATGACAGCCCACATATATAGTCTAATTGCAGTACACTGGTGTGTCCAAAGCCAAAGTCACATTGCGACTGACGGTAAGTCAGTAAGTCTTGATCTCGAGCCCCATCTGGGGCTCATGACCAGATATATTTACGGTTTGACAGTTTCTGTAAACGCTACGTCTCCGCTACAAAGCCCAACCGGTTAATGCTGTTTAGGGAAAAAGTCGCTGTTTACTGTGAGAACCACACGGAACACACAGACACACTCTGTGGGCAGAATGCAGAGTTTTAGTATGTTCAGTCCGAACCTCACAGGAGACATTACGTCTCCGCTACAAAGCCCAACCGGTTAATGCTGTTTAGGGAAACAGTCGCTGTTTACTGTGAGAACACACGGAACACACAGATACACTGTGTGGGCAGAATGCAGAGTTCTAGTATGTTTAGTCCGAACCTCACAGGAGACATTACGTCCCCGCTACAAAGCCTAACCGGTTAATGCTGTTTATTGAAACAGCCGCTGTTTATTGTGAGAACCACACGGAACACACAGACACACTCTGTGGGCAGAATGCAGAGTTTTAGTGTGTTCAGTCCGTACCTCACAGGAAACATTACGTCTCCGCTACAAAGCCCAACCGGTTAATGCTGTTTAAAGAAACAGTCGTTGTTTATCGTGAGACCCATAGGGAGAGCCGTACACAATCTCTCATTACATAACTGACCCACATCGTGCAAGCTAGCGCCCCTTTCATCAGGACCAACAGTTACGCAACTGATATGGTAGGGTGAACTTATAATGGCTCAGCAGGGAAACGCCTCGGTGTCAGTGTCACGAAGGCGCCCGACGTGTGAACACGGCGTCAGTTTCTTGCGGACAGATGACGGCGCCCTCTGTCCTGCCCTCCACCAAGAAGCAACTGCGGAGGAGTGCCACCATTCGAATCACAACGGGTTTACTTCCAATAACGGTGAGTGTCCGAACACATGCAGGGCACGGCAATATTCACGTGAATCTGGTCGCCAGGCAAAGGCGATCAGTTCTCCCCGTCATACTGTTTGCCCAGAGCCCACTGTGGGCTCAGTGGAACATTAAGGCGACATCAATAGCCAGGACTGAACCAGTTCTGTTGCTGTGTGTGTCCGTCATTTCCCTAGCCTCAAATGACCGAGTGAGATCGAAATTGCAGAGCCCCAAAGGCCGAGGGGGAACTTAGACGCCAGCCACTGGCAAACAGGCGACCGCGGAGACTTGGTTCCACTTTCATGAGCAGTTCAGCGAATCCACGAGGAATACGCCGAGGGAGTAAGCGTTACGGTAACTGGTGCTCTGGGAACGGTCCGTTCCAGTCAGGGGCTCTCTTTACGCTTTCACTCCATGCATATGCCTTGAGAGTACCTGGAACAGGCCACGACCGCTTCCTGCCAAATCTGTCCCACTTCATGTATCACCGTAGCATTCCACCCCCCACCCCCCCTCGCAAGTATACTTATCGCTACTGGTTTCATTTTCCAGACATGCGGCGCGAAGATGAAGCGAACATTGGTTTGGTTGGTCTGTCTGTTTTTGGTGCTGTGCTACGGCGGTACGTGGTACTACAGCACAACGCGTCAAGTGCTCGCATGTGCTAATGACAACTCATTTGCAAGAGATGTGTTCTTGAAAGCCAACAAAACATCAACAGGTGTCGGAGCACGCGAACCCTGCAATGCCGTACGAGAGGGCCTTCGCGATCAGCCAGAAGGAGTCTTCCAAAATGAAGAGGTGAAATTGAACTCTGAAAGATCACATGCAGTTACACACACAGACTCAGTCACAGGGAAAAATCAGCTCAACTTCACTGACCACGCAAAGTACAACAAATCAGAAGCAACAAAACTGTCAACACCGACACAATCGGGCGTCGAACCAACAACCGAAACAATTATCTTCACAGACAACGGGCAGCTTTCAGAGCGAAACGTTGTTCAACAGGAACCAGTTCCTGGAGAAAAGCACATCATATTTCTTGAAACATGCTGTGTTTTAAACGATTCCGTATCAAGCAGTCAGTTAGGTTTAATTATCCATCCTCGGGGTGCTTGCGCGGTTGCATCTGCCGCAAACACGAACCCTGACATGACGGTGTACCTCCTATACACGTGCTCGGTGCGCGGCGGCCTCGGTGGCTCACCTGAATACGTGAAGCAGATGTTGTCGTATCCCAATGTGAAGCTGTGGAAGCTCACTGTCCCGGAGTACATGTGGGGGACTCCGCTGCAGAACTGGGACTTCATGGGGAAAGTGAAGTCGTCCCGTTGGCCACTGCCTCACTCCAGCGACATCCTCCGTTACGTGACCCTCTGGAAGTATGGCGGCATATACGTGGACCTGGACTTCGTGTTCCGGAAGTGAGTACACTGCACTGGACATGTCTAAATGTAGCTCAGTGGGTATAGAGACTTGGTGAGCCGAAGGGTGCGGCTGTGTCCACACCACCTTAGCCTGGGCACTAGGCGCAGGTGAGTGGCCAGCTTGAAGCCCGGCCGCTGAGTACGCCTTAGACACGGTCTGGTTGCTATGAAGAGAATTTTTTTATTCTTCACCCGTCCAACCAATAGGAAGCTGTTATACTGACTGAGCTATCCCGGGCCACAGTCCAAAACTGATAACACTTCTCGTTCCTTCCGACAGGCCCCTTGCCCGACTGGGGACCAACTACGCTGGGGCACAATATGACGGTTACATAGCCAGTGGCGCCCTCAATTTCGACATGGACACTGCCGGGCGGGTTGCAGCACACCTGTGCCTTCGTGACATCCAGAGGAACTTCCAAGGATACTCGTGGGACCAAAACGGTCCGGCCGTGATCACCAGAGTCCTTGAGAACTTGTGTGGCACCAAACGCGTAAGTGTTGGTTCTGAGGTCCTCACAGCGGTGTATACAAAGATGGCTGTCGTATGGGATGCGACGTTCTCACTTTTTGCTGTATGCTTGTTTGGTTTACTTTTGACCCCGTAGATGGAGGCAGTACGTTCTTTCGAAATGTTCGTAAACTCACACCAAACTACAGTGTATCACATCCCAGAAGATAGTATTCTCGAAATATCTGAAGTATTAACATTCCGGGGAAGGCATAAGCAAAATTCCACGTACGCCATTTTGTTTTAAACCACCACTGAGTGTGAAGCACAGACATTACGAGTTGTCTGTCGCACTTTATGCATATTAAGTGAAGTTCATCAACTGCGCAAGCTATGTACCGTCAAATGACATCACAGTTTCATCTGTCAGTTGGAAACTGTACATGTCCAATGACCGAGACGCGAAAATATTCCTTTTCCACCTCATAAGTTCGCGTGTCCACAATGCTAACTTCTCATTCTTCCGACAGGTGTCTAACATGACGAGGCAGGAATGTCTGGGCTTCGCCGTCCTCCCGCAAAAGGTATTCTACGTCATTTCTTATCCAGCCTGGAGGCTCCTGTTCAATCCTTCTCAGAGCAAGGAAACCATGAAGAAGGTGGCGGACAGTTACGGGGTGCATGTGTGGAACAAGATGAGCAGCCAAGAGAACGTCACTGTGGGGTCGGAACAGGCGTACGGCCTGCTGGCTGCGACTTATTGCCCGCGCGTGTATTCGAACTCTGGTCCGATATTCTGATAGACTGATGCTGTGTGTGTCATATGAGGAGATGTATTCGGGAGGAACCCGTTTCGAATCTTGGTCAGGACACCAACTATTCTGAATGAAGGATTTCAGTTGTCCGCAGTCTCTCTGGGCAGATGAAGCCTCGAGTGCTCACTTGCACGCTCCGTCCAGTTTACTGTTCATTGATCATCCAACCTAATTAAGCCACAAACAAATTAATGCAGGTATATATGTTATCGAGTGATGCGTCGAGGCCATTTTTTTTCGACTGATGCCATATGTCAGACACGGAGAGTAAGTATGTCTTCTGTAAGCTCAAACAATTATCGGTACATGAAACTGGTTAATAAATGTAATTCCAGTGATGGAGGTTAGCTCTTTCTAAGCTGTCTCACCCCCCCCCTCATCTGAGGACGGAAACAGACCCAGTTTCCCAAACGTTGCGTTTTCTAGTTTTCAGAATATCGGACGATGGTAAAAAAAAGGTAAAGCTATCCCTGTAACAGGCCGTGGAGGCCCATAGTATTGTGAGACGTCGAGGCTCTCACATTTTCTAGACAATCGGCTCACAGTTGGCGGTGAGGCTGTCAGCCTTACGCGCCGGCTGCCCTTTAATCCTAGGACGATTCCTGGTACTCATTTCTGTTAGAGGCTGAGTCGACCCCAGGGCCATAGTAAGGCTGGAAGGACTAGGTTAAATGAAAAATCCAATAACATCATCGGGAATCAAGCCCGAGACCTTTCGGCTTGTAGTATAGTGCCTCGACCAACTGCGCTGTCCGCCCATGCACAAAGTCAAAAACAAAAAACAATCTAATTCTGAGTATACATACAGGGTGTTTCACGACTTTAGGGCATAACTGCAGGAGGTGATTTCCTAGGTTTTTGTGAGCAAAAAAGTTCATATAAACATGTGTTCGATTTTGGACGGTTACGGAGTTATGACCGTTTTAAACTCAGAATAGAAGGTAACGATTACTGACAATAAACGGAACAAAATAATAAACCAGCATAATGCATGATACATTTAAAGTATGAATGTAAAGTTAACTTTGTAAAATTACCTTTAATTTGAATTTATTTGTGCTTAAAGCTGATTTTCGAAAATGCCACCGCCGGCCGCAANCCTAAAGTCGTGAAACATCCTGTATACATATATACACATATGAGAACATAGGCTTTGTCATTGCCTGTGAGAAGCAGCATGCATGGCATTTCAGTAGAACCATCAGCTGAAGAGGGTCACGTGTAAGCTCATTGTCACTTAGCGTGACGGTTATTGTGTCGAGGGTCTGAGGAGTTTGTTCCCGGTGGCGCATATTCGTAACGTGTCGTCACAGTTACGACACCATGTAATATGTTATCTTTTTGCAGCAGATTCCTCCGCAACGTCGGTAACGATCAACCAGATTACACGGCCTTAAACCTCAGAAGATAAAATTGTCCGTGGATTTAATTAAGCTCCGAGTATTCTTAACCGGGTGAGCAGCTTCAGGCCCCGGCTGCTTCACCCCCGGTCTGAACCGTCTGGACGCGGTGTAAGGAGTAGCCTACTCGCTTTACCAGCCGCGCTATTCTGAGCCCAGAAACTGAACAGTTCAAAACGCGGACTGTAACAGCTTTTTGTACAGTGACAGATAAGGTCTTTGCAAATACGAGTATGTTAACTGGGGGATGCTTTCATTCCCATAAGCCCAGTTAGTATAAATATAATTAGTATAAAGCTGTAGGGTAAGGCATTCCTTTCGCTGGAATCTCTGACGCAATGTTCTTACCGTGGGAGTTCCTAGATACTTTTCAGATTAGAACTTAAATAAATATTGATAACCATATCTCTGAGCAGTTACCTCGTATCAGTTGCCTAGGAAGTGACGAAAGATGTCCTTGCATAACGAACTGAACCCAGTAATTATAAAGAGATATCCATGCGCACCGGAAAGGCGAAGGGGAAACCAGGCATCTGACTCCATCCCACGGATTTCTGGAAAATAAACCGAAAGAAACAAGGAAATGATACCAAATATTAACGCAAGAAATTCAAGTTGTTAAAAAGAATTCTACCGCGAACACCTTAGATGTATAATTAAAAATAGTCTTAGATGATTAAACCTAAGTTTGTAAGAACATTTTCTGGCTCCTCCCCCTTCACCACGAGATACCGTGGCGGCAGCCGAGGGTGCGTGGTGCACTACAGGGAACGTCAAGGAATAACACAGTGGGAGTGACAGATTTGCTGGAGCTGAACCTTAGACAATTACAACAAGAGACATTAAATATAATAAGGTACTGTAATGGGAGGGGGGACGCACACAATACTAAGCCATTGTAGGCCCCAACGAGCCCTCTGTCCAAGCGGTCCAAGCGGTGCAAGCGATTACCGTACATAATGATAAGAGTACGAAATTAATTTCATATCTTCAGGTGTTCTGCGGCAGGAACCAGACAACAGAATTTACATTTTTATTGTAATTACATATATGTATGTGTGTGTATTAGGAGATACTGTAGCACCGAAGTACCTAACTCCTTGGAGTAGAGTGCTTTTGAGAAGCTAATAGTCGTCCAGCTGATCACGACATTCCTCGCCTTTTACAGGACCTGAAATTCATTACCGTCTTCAAAAGAGAGCCAGCCATTGATGGTGCTTTGTGAGCGAAATGAATCCAGAGAATATTCCTCATTCCATCAAATTCTCCATAAGCATTATCACCAGTACAGGTACAATAGGACATATGGAAGCCGACGTGCCGAGGGGACCAAATATGGATTCCACCTCACACTAAATGAAATCTTAACTATTGTAATTTACTGTAATCGATTGTAAACAATTTTAAGTATTGTAACTTTATTCTCTTATTGTAAACAGCCAATGTACAGTAAATGACTTGTCCTATATCATGTAACAATGATCTATAGAGACGAAATAAATAAATAAATTCTGTATAACAAATAGTCCAGCAGATACAAAGCTTCATTTTGGGCGACAGGATCACATCGAGGACAGGGAGTAGCAAGTGGATTACGACCATTACGACCGATTAGGAGATTAGGAGAACGATCTAGTTACCCAAGTCGCGTACAGATGACAGTAGTTTGTATACACAGATGACTGCAGATGACCGTGCAGTGTTGCTAACGTTGCAACCGTTGCAACCCTTATATGCCTTTTATGGTGTTGGTAGGTGTTGAGGAAAGGTTGTTGTTCCGTTCATTTATTTATATTTGTGTTTTCATTTAATATGTATTACTCGTACGTTTAATTTGTTGTCTGTGTAAGAGAATTAGCCTTATTGGTAAGCACAGAAAATATTCAAATTTCGGATTAAAATGAGTGATGAGGATGGATCATCAGATCGTTCTTTTTCGACACTTGTTTGTCCATCAATGGAAGACGAATTTAATGACGATATTGACGATGCTGATGAAGATGTTGATTTCGATGAGGCCCTCATTCCTGCTTTAGGAAAGAAGTCTGCAGAAATATTAATTGACATTGATGAGAATCGCAAGAAAGTAATAACTCTAGACGACGATAACAGAAATTTGGAAGAAGTATTTTATAAAGCTANGCTCAGATGACTGCAGATGACGACGATGACGACCGTGCAGTGTTGCTAACGTTGCAACTGTTTTATGTTTTATGGTGTTGGTCCGTGTTGAGAAAAGGTTGTTTAGTTCATTGATGTATATCTGTTTTGAGTTATTATGTATTACTCGTACGTTTAATTTGTTGTTTGTGTAAGATAATTTGCCTTATTTGTATTAGTTGTCTGTGTAAGAGAATTAGCCTTATTGGTAAGCACAGAAAATATTCAAATTACGGATTAAAATGAGTGATGAGGATGGATCATCAGATCGTTGTTTTTCGACACTTGTTTGTCCATCAATGGAAGACGAATTTAATGACGATATTGACGATGCTGATGAAGATGTTGATTTCGATGAGGCCCTCATTCCTACTTTAGGAAAGAAGTCGGCAGAAATATTAATTGACATTGATGAAAATCGCAAGAAAGTAATAACACTAGACGACGATAACAGAAATTTGGAAGAAGTATTTTATAAAGCTATTGCAGAAGATGCCACTTTCAAAGAATATGTCGATTCGACAGTAATATTCCAGATATTCAATCATAAATTTAACACCTGGGTCGATCTTGACAGTTCAAAGGAACTCGCTGATGGAACCCGTCTGAAAGCAATATTTGAAGCAAAAGCGAAACCAGATACAGGAATTGGTCATTCTCATAAATCAAGAAAGTGCAGAAAAAGGAGACGTTCATATTCTTCAGATGATAGTAGCGGTAAGAATCGCAAATGTAAGACATTGTGTTCATCAGAAGAAAACTTGAACGAAAAGAAAAAAGTTTGCCATTCAGTGAAGACATGTTCATCAGATGATGAAAGATGTGCAAGTACTACTGTTCCAGTATCTTGTCATCATGCAAATGGCTCTACACAGTTTGATGGGCAAGAAGTTCAAAAATGTAAGATGGTCACAGGCTCAATAGACACTTTATGGAAAGAACAGGTTTCAGGATCAAATTCATCTCCAACGGTCTCCCAAGGTTTGTTGTTTCGTCAGTTATTAATAATGATAATAGTTAGCAAGGTTAGGAAATGTAAAAGAAATGAAACGTTTTGAATTACTTGTAACAGAACGACTGCAGAAGTGAGCACAAAAAGTTTTGAATGGTCATGTCAGATTTTAATGTATAGAATTTGCAGCCAAAAACTTTTTTTAACTTTTGTTTTACAATTTTGGACAACCATAGTGTTTGAATATACTTCATTAATGAAAAGCAAGTGTTTATTCCCATTTAAATAATGGCAAATTGTGTAGTACGTGATACGTGCCTGTTCATATATATATGGATAAAATACAGAGGATGACAATGAAACTGAGCATGTTACATTATCTTGTATGTTATTTTTGTTATCAGCATACTAGATTTAGTCCATAACAGTGTATAAGGTAAAAAGGTAAAGCTATCCCTGTAACAGGCTGTGAAGGCCCGTAGGGTTGTGAGACATTGAGGCTCCCACATTTTCTCTAGACAGTCAGCTCACAGATAGTGGTAAGGTCAGCTCTATGCCCTTTATCCCCCAGGAAGATTCCTGGTACTCATTTTTGTTAGAGGCTGAGTGAACCCCAGGGCCATAGTTTGGCTGAAATTGAAAAAATTGAAAAAAATCCACCTCATCAAGATTTGAACCTGCTACCTTCCAGATTGTAGCATAGTGCCTCAACGAACTAAACTACCATCTGGCCTTGTGTATTTCACATATGTTATTGAAAAATGTGAAAATGTGTTACATAATTAATACAAAAACTCCAGGAGTGCCTACTTTTTTAAATTGATTTTAGGACTTTTTTTCTTATATGTGGTATTTTAGAACAGTCATTCTTGTAACATTTTAATATTGGTTAGAATTTGCCTGCAAGAATTACATGACAAAGTGCTTAACTAATTAGGCACTACCCCATGAATACATATGTATAGATCCACATGGTCTTCTTGACCTTGACACTAGATTGAGGTGAGTGGCCAGCTTAATGCACCGGCCACTTTATCCTTGGGGAAAGAGCCCTTGGTAGTCACTGGATGGGAGGTGCAGTGGGTACATTTTACACATTACTTCATTCAGTATGCAGTAGGGCACAAATGTGAGAGGCTTTTTCAAATGAAACTCATTTTGGGTATTTTTCTGTGAGAGGAAGCAGAGTAAATGGATCTTCTGCATGAAGAACTTGCTGGATTCCTGCTAGAATCTCTGCATAACAGTGGCAATTTCCTGAACAGGCTGAGTGCAGCGAAGTCACGTCGCCATGATGACCCGCAGCCAGCTATATTTGCTGGCAGCCCCAGGAACAGTTTCTTTTGAATAATCCTCATAGCTTTGTGCTTTAATAACTGGATGCAGGAAATCTTTTTGCTTTACAGGTGAACTATGTGCTTTGTCTCTGGGCCTGACCAGCAAGCATCCAGTGTCAGCCCTTCATGAGTTGTGCACCAGGCTGCGTTGGGGAGCTCCTCAGTTTGAAATGCATGAGCAATGTTTAGTTTCTTCAGATCCAAAGTTTTTAATGAAGGTGCTATATAGTTTTTACTTTTTTAACAGAGCGAATTTTTATTCATATACATATTATCTTGTGCTAATTTATGTTAATTTAACTAATATAATATACCGATAGAATATTGTGATGGGCTTTTGAAAATGTTTTTAGTAGATTTCTTAGCAGCTTCTCTCAAGTGCATACTACAATTTAGGGATATTGTAAATTTAAAACTAAAAGGGATACTGGTTTGAAAATCATTACAGTACAGACACGTAACTGAGATCAAGGTGAGAGAACAATATATGTTATTGCTGAGTTGTGTACCATTGTAATTCATAACAGTATTTAATGTTATTTATCACATATCAATTTCAAATCTGTAAGAATCTGAAATGTTCAGAAGACAATAATGTTGAGCTGATGCTTAGTTTTGTAGCATAAAAGGGGACATTGTAGACATTAAAACATCTGAATGTGTTGTAACTGACAGAAGGTGATGAGTAAGATCTAAAAGTTTGTGACGATGGTACACTAATACAAATATTATGTTTCTGGGTGTTATCCATCGTCCTCTTTTTTATTTAAAAACACAGTGTTTCAGATACTGAATTCTATCTCCGTCTTTGGGTAAAACATACTCAGTTGGGCCCAATTGATGGAGCTGGCCCCTATCTTCAAAACGTGTTTTAGGCAAAAATGGGATGCTGGATAACGTCCAGAAACTTAATATGTGTAGTGATGAGTGATGATGAATAGCGTGAGAACAACAGGTTATGAAAGATGTTGGGCAGAAGGACATAGCAGAAAGAGCTCTGAGAAGACAGAAATAGGCAGAGAGGTTTGGTTTCTAGAGGACTCTAGGGCACTCTTCTTGGTTGGCTTATTCTTTGACACTGAAGATCAAGGTAGTGCAGTTTTCTGAAATGTTAGTAAACTTCTGTCAGACTACACAGCATGAAATCCCAGAAGACAATCTGAGTCATTCCCATAACTTCCATGCTGCTTGTATAGCGTTGAATGTTTGGATGACAGTAAATAATGAATTGGAAAAATGTGGAAGGAAGTGGTGTTGGGCTGATTTATGGACTCTGGTGGCTTTCATCTGGAGGGACTGAGGAAAACCATGAAGAACCAACCTGTCAGGATAATTGGTGTGAGAGCCAAGAGTTTTTTTTTTTCCTTAGTGGGGGGGGGGGAGTCCAACTGGGTCCACTCGGCATGGCAGCCACTGATTGTCCTAGGTGATTATGATGATGGAGAATTTGGTGGAATGAAGATTGACAAGGGAAACCAAAGTACTCTGAAAAAACCCGCTCCAGCGCCACTTTGTCCACCACAAGAGCCACGAGTTAAAGTGGCAGCTGTCTGCAAGTGAGAAGCATCACTGCTCATGCAAACTTGCTTGTTTGAAAGCAAAGTTTCACATTTGTACAAAACTGTGATTGTTTTATCTGTTAGCTTGATTAAGGTCTTGTTTCATTCTCAGGTGACTGTTCGAGGCCACACATATATTCCTGACACACCTTCAAGAAGGAAGCAGTTGGCAAAAGCTGCAGCTGCTGAATATTGTCTCAAGCAACTTGGAGTACTCAAGTAGCTCTGTGGAGTATGGAATTGTTAAGATTTCTACTAGCACTGACTTTTTGAGTATTCTCTGTCGTTATTAGGTGTTAGGGTGATTTACCCTCTCACAAAGATTTACTTTGGAAATGCCTTCACAGATTGATTGTGACAATATCATAAAATATAATTTTTCAGATTGAAGTACCTTTAACGGGAAACAAAAATCTCTTAGACTGGACACTGTGATTGTAGCTGTCCTTCCATTTGTTGAAGTGCCTCTGGCACTCATCTTTTGGGATGTGGTTCAAATCCTGTGTCATGCACTGGATCTCGGATGGCCTCAGATATCACCTATCTTTGTGGGTACTTTTCAGTATGGGCATTAGAGCAAGTTAGGAATTATAGGCATAGTGTAACATTTCTGGTGTGTTCATGCCATTTTGTTTGTCACAAAAACCAGATAAAGCGTGTTGGGTATAAAATATGCTATTGATTTTTGTGTATTTTCTTAAGAATATTTTTGCTGTGATAAAAATATTTAGCAAGTTAGGCGCACTAAGTGCACTAAGACAAGTGTGTGTCGCTAGTTTTGTGAAGTGTTTGACACTCACAAATGCTTTGAAGCGGAGTGTGACAGATTGTTTAGGGCTGAGCTATGTGCACTGTTCCTAATTTCTCGACTGTTATGTGTTACTACGGTTACATAAAACAGAATCTCTCTGTTGTTATGTGTGTGAGAATATATATAAAACGCCCTTGTGTATCAAAAGTTAGTCTTAATAAAGCAGGGGTAGATTGAACACTGATTCGTACTTATCATTCGATCCATGTAGCAGTGACAATAACAGGTTGTGGGCCCTGTGTGTGAAACTGTTCGTGTTGTAGTCATTTCAAGAGATTTTGTTTTGTATGGAGAAAATGTTTTTGCAGTGCACTGGTGAGTTTTTGTATTTTGATTTTGTCACAAAAAATCTACAGCCTCAGGTTAGTGATATGGATAGAGAGGCCTGCTTGAAGTCAATATCTGATTTGCCTAGAACAGGCATGTCAAACTCAACTTGTACAGAGGGCCACCTCAGCCCTATAAATAATAGTCCAGGGCCGCACTTCAAAATAGAAATATACATTAGATTTTGATACAAGGAAATTTAATTCTATTTATTATTTAGGAATAATTTCAATATAATTACCTAAAGTCACATATCTTACAGTTTTAAAAAGCAAGACTGCCATTTTTTGACAAGTATCAAACAGCTTTTCAATATGTAAAAAGAGAGATTACACAAGAAATTATGTTAGAAATAGCAAAACATTGAATTTCCTGCAGCCTGCTAGTTTATGTCTGCGTGAGACTTCTTGTCTTCTGGTCTGTTGGAAAATTGTCTTTACAAAAAATATTTCTGCTAAAATTTTAATATTGATTTTAATATCAATTAGCTCTAAAAGTTGAGGGGCCGCACTTTGTGGCTATGGGGGCTGCATGTTTGACACGGCTGGCCTAGAACATTATTGAAGGATTGTCGCACACTGAGTAGGCAGCCTTGTGGGAGGAAGGTCTTGCATGTTCAGTGAGGTGTCTGATGTAGTGATTTTGGTTTCCATAATTAGAATGTAGTGACTTCCTATGGATAATATAATGATATGTGTTATTACATGATGGTTTACCCTCACGGATGTTTTGGGCACAGACTAACATACCTCGCTGAGTCCCACTATCCTGCTCTGTTCTAGTGTTACCTCAAAGCCTGTAATGTCTTTATGAAATGTTGGAGAAGTCAGTACATAAACACATTTACTGGGATTTCACCCGCTGGGCGAACCATTTTTCTTAGACACAAACTGGAATTTGAAAGTACTACATTAAAGATTGAAAAATTGTCAACAAGTACTGCATATTTTTTTCTATTTCATGCTTTCAGTAGCTACATTTTCTCTTGAATGACATATGCACACACATACACAACCTGTCGTGAGAAAGCATTGCCAGTCAGTATGTTCAAGTGTAGCAGGGACATTTCATTTTATTGATCTCCACTGTCGGGATTAGAGGAAATGTTAAATAATATATAGACATACATTTAAAAGTATTTATTGGCCAACTACATCTAAACTGCAGAAAAGTATTGAGAAGTTTTTAGTATACAATCCATTGCCTTATTTTCAGTTTATCTTGAGAACTTGGTCACACGCACACGTGAATGCAGTCTGGCCCCTCAGATATTTCGCAGATAGATATAGGTCATGTTGCTTCATGATAGCTTGTAGTTTGTTCTAAATCCTATACTGATAGAGTCAGAACAGGAAATTACACAAAAGAGAATTTCATTTGAATTTAAAGAGGTCTTAAGATTTGTGTATATAAAAACAGTAAGTTTATAACAAGATCATGATCTTCTGACATGTGATGCCATGTGGCGTGGTAGGTGAGTACCAGTATTTCAGAGGGACTGCCCATCTCCAGCATCAGCATTGAAGATGAGGTGTACCCTGAAGATGGATGCAGCAGTTTCCTCTAGAATAATGCTACTCATCTACCAAACCACGATGTTATATCCCATAGGATCATATTGTTTGAAGACTCACCACCAAGATAAATGTTAAATGTCACATGAAGGCAGAACATTATGGCATTTTTTTATGTCCAGTATTTTCCTTTGAGGTTCTCACAGGTGACCCTGAAGATTACAGTATGTGATGTCATGTAGTCTGATACATATATACCTACATTTTGCAGAAATCTGTCTGGGCCCTCAAAAATGTGGTAAATGTCTACCAGACTATATGATAGCATAGTTGGGTGAGGCACTACACTACAAGCTGGAAGGTCGTGGGTTTGAGTCCCGATGAGGTAGATTTTTCCAATTTACCTAATCCTTCCAACTGCACTGTGGCCCTGGGGTCGACTCAGGCTCTAACAGAAATGAGTCCAAGGAATCTTCCTGGGGGTAAAGGGTGGCCAGAGCATAAGGCTGCCAACCTCAGCGCCATCTGTGAGCAGATTGTCTAGAGAAAATGTTGGAGCCTGGATGTCTCTCAAACCTACAGGCCTTCACAGCCTGTTACAGGGGTAGCTTTACCATCATCTATATGATGTTACATCTCAAGTAACAGTGATCTTCACTAATCTTAGTATTTTATATAATAAACAATAAAATAAATATCTGAGCTTGTGAGTTGGCCAGATACCTTGTTTAATGATTACATAATTCCAAGGCAGACATTTCGAAGGATATATTGAAACAGAGTTCAGCAGATTGATAGAATCATTTACAGCATGAGATTTGAGGTTTTACAGTGGTGAAAATTCATATTGTGGTTTTCTGATTTATGTGGCACTATGTAACATGGAGAGCAGTGAGCAGTGAGCACCACTTGTCTGCAGAAACTGGCTACTTAAATGACATTTTGTGCCACCACTGTTCAGACCACAGTGCTCCCAACTCACACCTTATTAAAACCAAATTAAACTGGTAATTTTCTTGCAGTACATGTAAATATATATATGAATGGTTATAAAAGAAAAATTATAAGAAATTGCATATCTGATAAACTCATGAGTATATACAATCCTAATCTAAAGTTAAATTGCCTGTATAAGGATGGAATGGTTGCAGAAGAAAGCTGAAAATTTGTATTTAGAAGGGAAAGAGAGGATGCCTAGAGGTAAAGCAAGTTAAAGCAGTCCCTGTAACAGGCTATTGAGGCCCATAGGGTTGTGAGACATTGAGGCTCCCATGTTTTCTAGACAGTCAGCTCACAGATGGTGGTGAGGTTGTCAGCTTTACGCGCCGGCCACCCTTTACCCCCAGGAAGATTCCTGGTGCTCATTTGTGTTAGAGGCTCAGTCGACCACAGGGCCATATTGCTGCTGGAAGGATTAGGTCAATTGAAAAATCCAGTGACCTAATTGGGAATTGAACCCATGATCTTCTAGCATAGTGAGTGCCTCAACTGACTACACTACCGCATGCCTCAGGATACCTAGAGTATTACATAATTGTATATAATAAAAATACATTTTAAAAGCTCTTCCCAGAGACAGTGTTCTTTAAAATGAATTGTGAAGTGGAAGCCAGTGTAGCAGTCTGCTGCATTTCCTGCCCTCACAACCCACTGCTTGCGTTTCATACTCTGAATATAAAAATCTGGTTTTGTTCACAATTCATTGAAACAGCAATTCTCAAACTGACTTGTATCATTCTATAATATGTGTTTTTAAATCCCCTGATACTATGGGGCTAGTGACCAGGTTTCAAATTGGGGGACACCAATATCTATATTAAAACCAGTTTGTGAAAGTATACGGTTAACAGCACGTTGAGCAGAAGGAATTAGAAATGAATAAGGCTATAATGAACTCTTCACTCATAATAAAAAAAACGTTAAATTCATGTGCAGTTATTTACTGTTAGGTTACAATATTCAAATTCAGATTCGTGAGGGGTCAAAAATATGTAGGCTCACTAAATGAATGAACAGTCAGTATTAAGGCTTCACTGTGCACTTCAAACTCATGTTGCAATAGAGCATCACATTCTTATTTTAATGCAGTCCAGAGTCAATAAAGACTTTTCTTTATCATGATTGTGTTTTGGAGGCCATGGTTGATTGTTAAATATGTAACTATGAAGGTGTAACATTCATTTTATTTATTCTGAAAACTAAGACTTGGTGAGAGAATATATTGGACATAGAATGTTTCTATTTTATGTACATCTCTTGTTTGAGACATTCTTCTCTACAGTACATCTTTAGCATGGAGTTCTTTGTTTAAACATAACTGATTTAAATGAAAATTGAAAAGCCTTGACAGTTCTCATATCAGATTTCACACAAATCCAACCAACAGTTCTTGAGTTGTGCCATGTATACGGACGGACTGAGCTCATACCTAAAATGCAGTGTTCTGTGCATATCCACTTTACAGTACTGCAGTCCATGGTCAGTAATCATTATAGCATAATAATTCTTTCTAAATATCAAACATGATGAATCTATTTAATATATATGATACAAAATTTACAATTTATACATGTCTTTAAGTGGTGATCTGAGTTGTTATATTTGTCGGGGCTCCTAATGAGGAGAGACAAGAATTTACTTCTTTTACTTGTCTCAGTAAATGTTTTCAGGTTTACAGTATTTTACGTTTCCGACGTGATATTTAATGTTAAATTCTGAAATGCAATACACTTGTGTTAGAGAATAATACTAGACTATGCCCACGGAATTCCTATCTTAATACTATATAGACAGATTTTCAAATTATACTGTGTACATGTATGTGCACCTGGCAGTGTATCAGTAGTTTTATTTAATGGTGTACAGATACATCAAGCAAAGACGCACTAGTGTCAGATGCCTATATCTACGAGGTGGTATCAGAAAGTTCCCAGACTGCTATTGCTGTAACTACCTCAGAGAAAGATGAGAGGGGAGGCCAGCGTCACCCTTCTGCAAGCCTATTGCACCAGTCTGCCATGTGACATCATGCTGTGAACACGTATTGTTTTTACTTGAGTGCTTTTTCAGCTTTGTCTCGTTTTGTCTGTGATGGATGGCAAAATTGAGCAGCATGTCTGCATCAAGTTTTGCGTGAAGCTCGGTAAATCCACTACCTAAACCCTTAAAATGCTTTGTGAGGCTTTTGGAGAATATTCGTTAAGCCAGAAGGCAGTCTTTGAATGGCATTCATGTTTCAAGGCTGCTTGAGTGTCAATTGAAGATGACAAATGTTCAGGGTGACCAAGCACCAGCAGAATGATGGGAAATGTTGCAACAATTCGAGAACTCATCAGCAAAGACCATTGCCGAACAATCCACGAGCTTGCAGACACCATTGGGATCAGTTATGGAGTTTGCCAGGAGATCTTAACAGAAAATTTGAACATGCGCCGCACTGATCCTTCATCATGACGTGCCCACCCACACGTCCCTGAAAACTACTAACAACAACATGGGTATCGTTCCCTATCCTCCCTACTTGCCGGACTCAGCCCCCTGTGATTTCGCTTTGTTTCCGAAATTGAAAATGAAACTGAAGTGATGACATTTTGAAACAGCATCTGACATCCAAAGGAAATCACATGCAGTATTCAACAGCATTAGGGAAAATGACTTCCATGGTGCTTTTGAAGCGTGGAAAAAATGAAGGGATTGCTGTATATGTTCCCAAGGAGACTGTTTTGAAGGAGATGGCAGCCAAAGTTTAGTAAGTTAAGCCAGAATTTCTTTTTTGGACTAGTCCAAGAACTCTCCGATACATCTCGTACTGATGTGTTACACTTGCAGTACTAGTTTAGATATCACAAGATTTTATTCACACAGGAACATGCTAATATGTGATCCTACTGCATCAGATACAGTTTGTAGAAAAGAAGTTAAAATCTTTGATAATTGCAGGCAGTGTTCCTTCAGTAGTGCTTTCCACAGCAGCTGTGATTCCTGCCTTAAATTCTGAATATTACAAGAAGTATCAGTAAGCGATGATAACCTGCCAACTGTTGTGGGTACTGTGATTCGACATCTGTAATACAATTCAAGTGCCAGACTATTTTTTATGGCCATATGTATAGTACCAGAGAACTACTGAAATTAATTTAACATTTGCAACTCCATCATGTGACTAGTAATTGCTTAATGTTTTGTAGGTATCCATGCTGTCTTTTGAAGGACCTTACAGATTCTATGAAGCATTATTATGAATATTCTGACATTCATGCAGATAACTGGAAAAAAATCTTTTCAGAGAAATCAAAGTGCTCACAGGTGAGTGTTTGGCTGTTACCTGCTCTAAGTGAATAACACTTTGAAATTTTTGCAGTGTTAAGTTTATGAAAGATTCCTTGCATTTGGACATTTTCTTATAAATGTTATAATTCCTATATACTAAATTTTGTAAGCAAATGTTTCTTTTAAAATATATAAAGGGCATGTAACACCATTCTAGTTCTTACCAGCACTGAAAATATATTTAACCTATGAACAGTGTATTGTCATATTTGGATTGCAGATTACACTACCTACATTTAGACACAGAATTCAAGTAATATAATATGTTCATTAGTATTAAACATGAAGGTAATCTGCAACGTGTAGGCGAGTTATTTAACATGAAGCCACATTTTAGTTTCCTTTTCACCTTTCAATTTTATGTCACATTTATAATTAAATATTCCTAGACACTTGTACAGTGCTGACAACTTTGCACTTGCCTAGGCCTTATTTTACCTAACTCAAACTCTTAGACATTACAAAATGGGTAGACATGGATAAAAATTAGAAAAAGCATAAGACAGGCCTTTTCACTTTACAGAGTTTTTAAATGAAGTCTTTGTAGAGTGCAAACCATAATGTTTCAATATGCCATAAGGATTGTTTCCTGTATTATAGACTGAAAAAGAAAGACATTTGATTCAGCGTTCTACTGGATTTAGAAAATAACTAGTGTGAAAATATTCTTTCAGGTCCCACTGATGTTCTGTTGTGTCTGCCATCAAATCAGCAGTTTTATTCATTGTTATAAGTGCATCGAGTTCATATATGGAGGCCATGGAAAGTAGTTCCACAGATTGAACACCTCAGCGTCTGCTTTGAGCTCATTACCCTCCCATCTCCAGTATACTTCCTCATATTCCAGTCCAGTCTCCTGACCATTGTGCTTGCTCCCTTGCTCTCCGGTTGACCTCCTTTCTTTACAACATATATTCATTCTTTTATTATTTGCCTTTTACCTCCATCTCTTCACTTTCAGCTCTCGTTAATCATTGCCTGCATCTTCCAGCCATCTCAGTATGGACCTACACAGTTTTCTTCCACTTTTTGGTTTGCTTTCAAACATTTTCGTAGCCACACGTTGTGATCCATCCTAATCTCATGGTCCAGCATTTTTCTTTCAATATATATAATTCCAGTAGTTCTTGGTTGAAACTGATTCTCCAAATACTTTGTCTGTGGCCATTCTGTTCACACACATGCTGGCAGTAATAACTTTATTAGTGACAGATGCTTGTCGAGGAGAAGAAAAGACTGGAGGAGAACACATCTGTAGGCAAGGAGTGGAAATATTGAGGATTGTTATCCCCACCACCCATGGGACTTCTTTTCAAGGCCTTAGTATAGTTTGGAGGACCATACATACATGAATGCAATATGAAACTCAATGCACTTGCCCCTGTAACACAGCATTTGTTACTTAAGTGTGTCGTATGTCTTTTTCAGTGGGGTGGATTTAATAGGAATAGACCGAGAAGCAGGCTAACATGACTTTTTCTGAGGCACAACTTATACTAACATTTTCATACAGTCTGAAAAATACTGTAATAAACTTTTTGGTCTGGGTACCTGGCTCTGAGATGTGACATGTTCCTTATGAGACATCAAAATATTTTGAAATATTTCATTCAGGGACTTGTACTTTGGATCCACCAAGTAAAATGGGCAATGAGGGGCAAGAGAAAAGTCAAGGAAGATTGGAACTTAGGTATTTCTAAAGTTGCAGGGAAAGATGTGATCTGTATCTTCCTCAGTCTATTTGAATAGTAATTTTCTTCAGTTTTGAAACACTTTTATTTAGGTGTGAAACAATAATACCTGACTTTCACCCAGATGTGGTTGTGTTCCTTGTCACTATCACAGCACATAGTAGGAAAGAATAATGTTCAATTAGAGAAGTTTGCTCGTGTAATTAAAAAAAAGATTGGGAATGAGGATTTGACTCACACCAAAAATCTCTACCATAACAGTTACACTTCTCTTCAACAGCTGTACATACTGGCAAGAGTATGGATTAAATTTCATGATCTCTGTGGGCATTCTCTGTTCAGTTTGCAATTATGCATGAACTGGAGAAATGTGTTTTCCCCCATTTGCTCATATTTATTTATGTGCTATTCTTATAGCATAAAACTGTCTTATAAAATATAAATTCATTTAATATAAGAGAAATTAGTGTCATTTAGAGATATTGGGTTTTTGGATTTTATCCATCGTCCTGGTTTTTAAGATAACTAAGAAAAACACGACATTTCGGAAACTGGATCTGTTTCCGTCCTCAGCTGAGGGAAAACACCTACTCTGTTGGGTCCCTTAGAAAGAGCTAGCCTCAATCACTGGACCAGTGATGGAAACAGATCCAGTTTCCGAAACGTTGTGTTAGTTATCTTAAAACCAGGACGATGGATAAAGTCCGAAAACCCAATATCTGTGTGTAATACACCATCGTCAGAATCCTATAGTAACTATTAGTGTCATTTAGTTTTGCATGAAGTAGTATGTCATTAAATTAAAAAACTGGGATATATTATGGTTTGAAATTTTAGCCCTTAAAGAGTCAAATATTTTATGTAATAGTTATGTAAAATACTATGTGTCATTGCCACATTTTGCCTAAAGAGGAAGTGTAATATATAAATTGTTATAACAGTTTCATATTTTTCAAATGTACCAGTAACTGTCAAGATGACATCCAAAGTGACGGTAGCAGGTACTGAAGTTATCCACTGTTTCTCAGTGCTGCATGTATGCGGACATTTAGCCGATTCTCAAAGTCATAACCTCTGTAGTTAGTCTGAGCTTGATGGAGTAGGGCTTTTCCTTCGTCGACAGTCTGGAACAAAGACAAAGGATACCAAAGTAAATTAAGCTGAATATTGGGCATTTTTAGTAATACAGACCCTGGACTTCCTATCCAGGAGGCTTATCACTCAAGCCAAGCTGGAATTCAAGTGGGGTTGTCCGGTAACTAAAATGACAGAACATCTGTGTATATGAAAATGTGCTAAAACAGTTTTCCAAAATAGGTTTTTAGATATTTTAATAAGTTCTGTGAGAAGTTTAGTACAAATTTAAAAGCAGGATTTACCCAACCCAGTGTAATGTAAAGAAGGACTGTTCCACTCAAATGGGAATGACAGACAACCGTAATATGTGGCCCTAGGTGCGGAGTGTAGTGAAGGTACAGGGTAAGGTGCGAAAATGGAAGCATGAAACTCTTCAGTTACTGATTCCATAGAAGTACCTTTACCCTAATTTCACAAGTAACCCCACTGTCCTCTTCATGCCTGGTACAAAATTTATCCAAAATTGTTTTTTTAATAAACAATTTTTTGTTAAGAAACTGAGATCACATGTAGATCAGTGATAGCTGGTTGCATGGTTGGTATTCTCATCTTATTTTAGATGGTTCAGTGTAGTACTCTTGTTTAAAATGATGGTGAAAACGCAGGATTCGCATTACAAAATTTCACAGTGTTGACATGTTTTGAGGGACACATCCATTCCATAATGTGGGGACAGGCTTAATTAAGAAAGAACACATTGTATAGTTTATTGAATTAATTTGATATTCCATTTCACTGTTTTTAACTGTATTTAAACACGAGAAAGCTTTACTCACTTTAGGATCCTTACACAACAGGGTACCCAGTTCATACAGGGCAAAGGCTGAAATGTGGTGGTCCCCAGTTTGCCCCATCATTCTACCTCCTCCAGTTTCACAAGCTTCTAGTTCACCTCGTTTGGCAAGACAAGTTCGGAAACTGGCTACCGCCTCTTCGTGGAGCCCCAAATAGCACTGAGCAGCCCCCATGACAAGGTGACGAAGACCCTCCATGGGCTCCCGACCAGATGACTGACAATCTGTACAGGAGAAGTAATGCAGAAAACTCAGGACAGTGAATTTGGAAGTCTGAAGATTATTCAAAAGATGCATGGGTAGGAATTGTGGTGCAGTGGTGGATAAGTCAATGAAATTCAGAGGGAATCAGCTGTGCCATTGTCAAATCTGAAGTCCTCATGACGATGAGTATACAGATACTGCCTTCTGAGACATGAAGCAGAGCAGCAGGTTCAAATAGCTGCCACACTACGTGACGTCACATTCCAGGTGGCAGTAATCTTCAGTCATGTCATTACTGAGCTTGAAACCAGTGTTTCAGAGACATATGTTTTTAACTCATTGACACCACTGATTGGTTGAAAGGATTTTAGTGCAATGGTGTCATTACCGTTGATGTAATTTTATCTTCTGTCAAATCAGAGCACAGGTGATTCTCATTATATGCACTTTTATCTGCATTTTCACAAATCCATGGCTTCATTTCCGTAGCATAGTACGTTGAGGCACCATGCTACAAGCCAGAAGGTTGCGGGTTCGATTCCCAATGAGGTTACTGGATTTTTCAGTTGACCTATACCTTCCAGCCGCACTTTCACCTTTAAGCCAACCGTCTAGAAAAATGTGGGAGCCTTGACATCTCACAACCCAATGGGACTTCACGGCCTGTTGCAGGGATAGCTTTACCTATTTATCAGTTTATTTCTGTGTTACAAGGAGCATCAGTGAGCAATCTGCAGCCACAGTAGAAGCTGCCATGTGTGCCCATCGA